AAAAAAAGTTTCCCCAAAAAACTAAAATATTAAAGGAAATTATGTGAAAATGAATTAGTCGGTTAAACATTGCTTGGGAAATATTTGAAAGATAATAACATTAAAAAAATGGCTAAAAATTATGACTTCAACTGTATTTCCATAGATTTTTTTCTGAAATAATACAAAAAATCCTTCAAATGCATATACAGTAAAACTAGTTTTTAATATTTATTTATTTATTTATTTTCTTTACAGAGTGTCTCAAGTAAATCCTGACTGTAGCTATTTTCCCCCTTTAACTTTACAGCAAGATTCATATGTAGCCATACAAGCACGATTTTCTATCCCTTTAGTCATTGTTGAAACATTCTCATCATTTCTTTGCCAGGTCTGATTAGTAGAACATTTGGCTATAGCTTTGAGAGCTTGTTTTTCTGAGATGAAGGAGGCTATATTTCTTTAAGAGGAATGAAAGTGTGTGTTTGCTTTTAGATCTGTGGGATTCGGCTGGCATTGTGATGTTTTGTGCTTCTGTACTCTAGCTTTTCTCCTTAGGAGTCTGATGCTCAGAGTTGGCAGGCAAACAATTCTGCCTGAATGAGACAAAGCGTGGTTGCGTTTCTTTCTTTTTCCTTTTCGCTTTCTTTTTCACATGCTGTGATAGTTGCAATTTAAGTTACTTTGATATTTTTATTTTATTTATTTATTTTTGTTTTTTTGTAAAATGGTGTTTTTTCTTGTCTTGTAGGATGCTTTGCAATGGACAATAAGGCAAACACGTTGTCCACAAAGTCTGAAGCAGGATTCCATCAGGCACATCATTTTGACTTGACAATGTTAGCCCTGATCATAATAAAATCTCATTTAAATATATCCCTATGCTAGAAATGAAGCCATCTGCTCAGGCAAGGACCAACTGTGGAAGAAAATTGTCAATTTTTCTGTTCCAAGAGGTCTAAACATAGCCACCCCTGCATCTGCAATCTGAAAAGCAGCCAATTAAAGCAAGAAAAATGTGTCAAAAATATCATAATCACACATATGCATGCTTTCAGCTGGCATCAGAAGTGCAGTTAAAGACCAGTTGATGTTAGCGGAGGTCTGATATTCTGCCTTGTTAAGAAACCTATAAATGTTTGAGTGTATTTTAGGTTTAGTATATTATTTACCTTAATTCAAATAAATGAATTACTCTTAACAGAAATTAATTTCCCCCCTAAAACCACTGCTTTCATTCATGAAATACAAGCAGAACACATTTCCGTTGAAATGATTTGTAAAAACGTTTGCTGTGGAAATTGTCACATTCAATTCAGTGAGACCATTTACATAAGAATGGATTTACGAACAATTTACACAGAATTCTCTCTGCTGGTGTTTCATGAATAAGCTAGATAGATTTGTAGAAACAAATTTGAATAAAATGTGTGTGGTGCTTGCAATGAAGAAATAACATGAACAATATAGGGATCAGGATCTCATGGAGACTTTTAAAGTGTACCCTATTGATTTGTGCCACCTTGCAACTAAGAAGACCATAGCAACTAGGAAGACCATAGCAACCGCTGGTAAATAATCGACTAAGACAAAGAAAAATGAATAAATGAATGAATAAACAAATCACATGAGTTCTTGTGTGAATAATTGCTACCTAGTTTTAGCTAAATGTAACTGACAGGACCTCATGACCTGTTAATGTACAGTAGCTTTATGTCATCACTTTACTTGGAGGGGCACATTATAATTAATTTATTCTTAACTACTCATGAACTCCTATGTTAGGGTTAGGGTTAGGGTTAGGTCTTGTGCCTGTTTACATTGGAAAAAAAATAACAACAGGAAGGAAGGTGTTCTGTCTGTATCAAAATTAGAGTCTAAACACAAGTTCATGAGTAGTTATAACTGAGTGTATGATAATGTGCCCCTATATTTAAAGTAATCGCATAAAAATACAAAAAAGATATTAGAAAGTGAATTTGGCATGACCTTTGTACAGTAAGTCACACAACATTTACTCATTGAAACTGCCAATTGAGCATGCCTGATACTAGAGCTGGACGATGTTGCAAAAAATAATCATCACAATATCATGTTTCATATCATTTGATATCTATAATTATTGAATATTTTTTAACAATACATTTAGAAATATTAGGATTTTATTATTATTATTTTTGTTTAACCACTTTATTTTAATTCACAAAAACAAAAAATGTTTAAAACAAAATATCTCATCTCTTTATAATAAAACAAAAATAAGTGTTAAAGACACTCAAACTTGATGAATAAAATGTTACAAAGTGTGTGCAATGGTAAAGGTTGATTAACAGCTGTAAGGCGTCAATGATAATGATACAGTATCAAACCTCAAACTCTAAACAAAACAAACGATGATCAAATCTTAGCTTTCAAGTAAAAGAACTAACCATCATTATTTAAATACATACTGCAACATTACGAATTGTGAAGTTGAATGACTATATTACCCCCTATGCTAAAAACTTATCCAGATGGGGTGGTAGTGGCTGGGATGCACAAGAAAAGAAACCAACAAGCCATTCTGGCGTCATCATCACTTCTTTTTTTTAATTACAAATTTCCTCATTGCTGCTATACGACACTCAATTTCACGTGTTTTATTCTGATCTGAAGTGACAAGCATGAGTGCATGGTTTCCTTCACTGTTTTCAATGCGCTTTGCATTCGCACTTCCCTTACATTTTTCTTAACTAGACAACCATCAACTATTTTCTCAGAGGATGACAAATGGACAAATCATTGCTGCAGCTGTTACAAGTTTATGGAGAAAGGTAAAAAGCACTGCAGTGTTTCTAGAATGCGCTGTTTTGGTCTGAGGTAACTAGTCTGCCGTTATTACCGAAATATGTTGTTAGTTCTAAGTGTAAAGCAGATTCGTTAGTTCTACTTGCATGAATTGCGGTGCGTTCGCGGGATTCTCAATGGTTCAGATGTTTCTCAACTAGGTGTACCTGGAAAATGTTCGCGCATCGTTCCCATGTGTGCGTTGAACAAGTCTCGTGCCTCCATTGGAAATGACAACTTACACCCTAATCTTATTAATATTTCTTCCAAGATGCATGCTCAGCAGCAGAATTGTTTTCCCTTATTGACAATAGTGTTCGGTCAATAAATAACGATATCGTTTTTATCGCCTAGCCCTACTGGATACATCATCTTTCTAATGAAGATCAATAAACAAATGTGATTAAAAAAAAGCGTCACCAAAATCTGATCAGGTGCCAACGTTCATTCCTTTTCACCACAGTGGAATGAACCGCCAACTAATCTTTGGCATATGTTTTACACAGCAGTAAACCCGCAACCCAGTACTGGAAAACAACCATACACCCACACACTATGGCCAATTTAGTTTATACAATTCACCTATATTGCAGGTCTTCCGACTGTGGAGGAATCCAGAGCACCCGAAGGAAACCCACGCGAGCAAAGGGGGAACATGCAAGCTCCACAGAAATGCTAACTGGCCCAGCCGGGACTTGAACCAATGACCTTCTTGCTGTGAGGCAACAGTGCTAACCACTGAGCCACCATGCCGCCCAGGTGCAGACAATTTTCAAAATAGTTTTACCATAACAATATTGCTTCAAAATCTTTAATAACCAGAGAAAGCATGCTCAAAAAACTGGATCTTTAAGCTATAACATTCAAAAAACTGAGCTGACTTTTGAAACCAACACTTTTCTGTGCCTACCTGTATGAATTTTTTTTTTTCCTATACAGAAACTGACTCTGAGAAATCTCCTCTGTGGTGACATCTATTATCCCCAGTCTACTATTTATATTTTGCTCAGCTCTGAATGGCTTTTGCACAATTAGCTCCCTTCCTGCATTCAGTCCATTCTTGGCCACTGCCAGTCATTCATTTCATTCAGCCTTGAGGGTTACTGTGCGTCTCTATCTCTGTCCCTGCGCTCCCCGTCCTTGGTAACCTGAGCAATGTGCAACCCCACACAAGACAGACACCACTATGAATGACAGCAGCAGTCAAAACAGCCCAGTGTGTCATTCGCACAATGGATCTCTTACTCAGGGCTCAGCTGTAAGTACAGGGAGTGAGACGCACAGGAAGTAATGTGTCGCCCTAATGGCCCTTTGGTGTAAAGAGTTTGCCATCAGATCAATATGCATTCGCTCCCCCAGAGAGAAAAACGTGACAGGTTGTTGGAGAGTCACATATGTGTGTGTGCCAGTGTGTTTTCAGATTATACCTCACTGATAGAGTAAATAGATCCCACTGTCTTCTAAGGCAAGGGAGAACAAGTCCAACGCCCATAACAGTAGATTGAATTGAAATTAGTTGGCTCCATGTGGCTCGTTCTGGAGCAGCGCTCGACATTACTGTCAGGACCGAATGGCACAGTAAATTGAAGTTTTAGTCTGGACGGAGCAGCACAGAAAACAAGACGGTGCGCGAGTCTGACAGGAGCGTCAAAATGAAGGTAAGAGAAATTACTGCCGGGACGACTTTAGGGATAAACGAAGCCGAATCTGCCGCGTCCTTGTAAGTCACACAGCCGTTACTCATTGAAACTGCCAATCAAATGCGCTTGATACTAGTCTTAGCATGGTCTCGCTGGGCGATCTGACCCTCGGCTACTCCTGCAGGGTTGAGAAGGGGCCAAAACTGTGCTTGATGTTAGAAAAGTCTGCTTACTGCGGAGCCTCGCGTTTGGCTCCCTCAATAATTCATTCAAAATCATTATAAAAAAAAAAACTTTATTGAGCTCTACTGAATTATTAACAGCCTGTCGACTCTTGGCACACAGCCACAGCCTCTTCACAGCCGTAATGCTTATTAGCGCTGGTATAGAACGAAGTGATTGCTGCAAACTCTCGTGGTCCAAAAGTTCACCTCCGTGCAAAACTTCAGCTAAATGGCGAAAGCATGTTTACAAACAGGATCAAGGGATAATTTCTTACATCTTTTCATTCCCCGATCTCCCTCATAGCGCTGATGCATTTTTCATGTCCCCCAGAGCCCTCGCCGTGGGAGACGACCCACAATGCAACTCTTCCTACCGGGATGAAAAGCAGGAAGTGGCTTTAGCTGGCCTCTCCCTCTGGCGGATCATGCAGGTAATTAAATAAATAATCAAAACTCCTTTGACTGCAGCACTTACCTGGAATGGATCGTCTCTGATGGCCGATCTCGAGCTGACATTGTTCTTTATTTATTCATACGTGCATTATTACTTATTTAGAAGCGTTCAGCGACGACTTCGGGTGGGCAATGGCGCCTATTAACACAAACGTGTAGAGCTCTGGGGCCACTTAAAAAAGCAATCATATGTGCTGTAAATGCATATTTGAAGTCCTGTTACACGACAACACCAACCATCAATTCTAATCGCCTTTATGGTGGCACTTTTATTGCCAGCGTTCCAGCAGAATCGACACGATCTGACATCATTATGTGTGTAAATAACCTCCGATGTTAGACTGAACAGTGGGTGCGCTTAGAGTAGGACTAGGTAGTTTGACGGCATACACTTTACAAACCTATAATCTGCACACAATTCATGCCATGGCATATTTTTTTTCTGACATTAAAGTATAGCGTGTTTACACATTTGTTGACCATTCTGGTGGCAATTTAAAAGGTTGACTTTTTGTGTTTTCAAGGAACAATGCAGATACTCATTTCATGAGTTGATATTTGACTGAATATGATATGCGGTCCGGGGAGAGAGCTCCGAGCTCGGAAAGACACCCTAAAGCTGCCTTTCCACTGCACACGACATTCAGACGCGGCTGTCGGAATACACCCCCTAGTGGCATCCACACAGAATATTCAGGTTTGTTGTGTACCATGGGAAGCTGATTCTCGTGGTGGTGTCAGAAATAAAGTGGTGCTAAGGCAAGAGCCTTTATTCTCTGTGCGTTCACCATGGTTGAATGAATGAATGAATGAATGAATGAATAAATAAATGATTGAATGAATGCTAGAAACTCATAATAAACCCCATTCACACATACAGACTTTCTGGAAAATTACCGACAATTTGCCAGAAAGGTCTGTATATGTGAACAGGCCCTTTTTGACAATACCGGTAAATTCGTTCCAGCTATTTTGCACGAAGAGAAGTTGTAACATTATCGGTAATTTGCCGGAATGCTGCTCTGTCAAAAGAAGGATTGCCGGAAAGAGTGCGTTCAAAACTTGAGACGTCTACTTCAGCCAATGAGTACATTAAGACACGTTCACATCCGCTCAGTTTATGAAAATAAAAGCCTTTGAATATTTTTCCAGACACACTAGCTGTTAGATGTTAGTCAGATAACATGTATATGTTCCTTTTTAATGCCTACTGTGTAAAACATTATCGATCAAATGCTTATGATAAACCGCTGTTTGTTTACCTTTAAGCTCTGACGCATGTGAAGCAGCAATATTATGTTCATATTATGAACATTTCAACATGCGAAAGCGTTCCTCTATATGTTTTCATCAAAGTTGTTTACAATACTTATCCATCCACAGAGTTTGTAATGCAGTGAAATGTTTACAAATACAAGCGTAGCTGTTTAGAGATCATTTCTGGTTAATGATTTTAGAATTTAATAGCATTTTGGAATGGGTGTGTGAACAGCCCTTTCCTGGAAAAATTCCGTAACGTCTGTCCTTGTGTGAACATCGCCGTTTTGAATTTACGTGTAAAGTTATTCTGGAAATTTTCCAAATATTTACTGGTATCACTGTGTGAAAGGAGCTATAGACTACTAAAATTTTGGAGGGAATGTGGAATAATAATAATAAATAATATTTTTTTTTTATTACTCATTTATGACTAGAAATGTTTTTTTTTCTTTTTAAATATGGCCTTTTTTCAGATACAAAAAAAAAAAAAAAATTCATTAAAAACTGCTATTTTTCATCTCTCGTGTGTGGACCTGCTCGGACAACACAGGGATACATCACATCCCAATTGTATACGGTCTAGTTGCAGAAGTTAAAAAATTTCAACGCATTTACGGCTCAAATCGGATTAGAATTTTCCGCATACGGAGATGATTGGAACTCCACGCAGCTCCCAGACTACACTCCACTACACTTGTCATATGCAGTGGAAAGGTAGCTTAAGGGACCGATCACACGGAACACACTTTTATGTTCCAAAAACGAGGCACACCACATTGCCTTTTTTTGCTGAGCAGAAAAACACCTTTCTTTGTCACTAGGCAATGACTAAATCAGCGTATTGTGTGCGAGTGTTGCTGTTGATATTGTTAAAAATGCAATATTTAATAATATTGTGATATTCAAGATTTCTGAAGTCATACAGCTCTGAATAACTTGAAACAGCGACCACTACTCTCTCCTCCGTCTCCGTAGTTGTCTTACCACAAACACTGCTGTCAGAAACCCCGCCTCTGCTTTCATTTGATTGGAGAATGAAAAAGACACGGCTGACACAGAGCACAACATCAAAAACGCAAGGTGTAGTAGTAGGTGGTTAAAACACCCACGCTTATACACTACGGCCAATTTAGTTAATCCAATTCACCTACAGCTCATGTCAGCTTGAACTTAAACTCTGAAAACTGGACTGACACGGTTTCAATTAACTATAATCTTCTTTGTGAAGCTGCTTTGACACAATATATATTGTAGAAGCGATACATAAACAAAAGTTGATTGAATTGAATTAAAATGTCTTTGGACTGAGAGAAACCGGAGCACCCGGATGAAACCCATGAGAACACTGGGAGAAAAGCTCCACATAGAAAACCCAACTGGCCTAGTTGACACTTAATGTCACAAATAAAGAATGTTCAAGTGAATCCAAGTGCGAGTGAAAAAAAATAATTTATTGACAAAGTCAAAACAAATGCAAGGAATGAGTGCGGTGCTAGGGCTAGGAGAAACAGGGCAGGAATCAGGCAGGAAACAGGGTCCAGTAAAAACTCCTCAGGTCCTGAGTACAGACAGATAGCACACATAAGCACACGTAACGAACTGACAAGGCCACACAGAAAACGTCGCCCATATATAGGCATGAATATGAGCCTCAGCTGGCGGACTAATCAAGCTAGCTGAGTGCCGTCATCACACGAGATCAAAACAGATACACGTGGAGAACAAAAACAAAACAAACCCACATGATCAGACAGACACTCCGGAAGAGAGCACAAACCTGCAACCGTGACACTTAAACCAGCGACCCTCTTGCTGTGAGGTGACTAACCACTGAGCCATTGTGCCACCCTGCAAATACTCAATAAAATATAGACGTCATACTGATATGAAAGATTTTATGCTAGTTTGACTTGCTCACAGGATGAATTGATTGACCTACAATATCCCAGATGTGCTGGCAACATCACATCAACATTGTGGTCATTTGTAAAGTTAACGTTTACTTGTATGATGATTATAATTCATTTCAGCCTAGTGTTAATGTTTTTTAACAGAAATTAGCTCGACACAAACAGAAACTACACAGGTCAGCTCCACCAGTTACTGTAGTGTACATGACTGAGTAAATCCGTTCATCTAATCATGTAGCAGATAAAAAATTATATATATATATATATATATATATATATATATATATATATATATATATATATATATATATATATATATATATATAATGTTTTAATTATTTAATTTTTCAATGTCTTATTGCTTTTTTAACTACATTTTAATCTCGTGTTTTTCATCAACAATAATACAATGTTCATTTATTAGATGAGCAAATAAAAGCATTCACATTTATTCAGGCACATTTCTAGTGCAGAGGACCTAGCAAGTTTCTCTTTGTGTCAAGCTATAGGCAACATTATATTCTTTAATGAAACTAACTCTACTTCAGATTTCAAATGGTCTCTTATAGTAATTGAGAGTGTGAGTACAGTATGACTCATCGTGTGTATGATACTCATCAGCCACTAAGATGTTTATTAACCTGACAACCTGACACAGCCAAACAAACAACCACACATTCATTCATTTTCCTTCGGCTTGGTCTCTTATTAATCAGGGGTCACCACAGCGGAATTAACCGCAGACTAATCCGGCATTTGTTTTATGCAGCAAATGCCCTTCCAGCTGCAACCCAGTACTGGAAAAAACCCATAGACTCTCACATTCACACACACTTACACAAAACAGCCAATTTTGTTACATCTGTTAATCTATAAAGCATGTCTTTGGAAACTGTTTGGAAACTGGTGGAAACTGTAGTCCCCGGAGGAAACACGCGAACATACAAACACTACACAGAAACTGGCCCAGCCGGGACACAAACCAGCAACCTTCTTGCTGTGAGGCGACAGTTCTAACCACTGAGCCACAGTGCCTCCCTAACAAACAGGTTTATTAAAAATATATTAACATCAGCATGAGTTAAAAATGACATATCTACAAAAATACAGTATCATCACACACCTAATATTAACGTGTTAGATAATGTAAATATATTTGCATGTACAAAACATGAAGCAGAATGATCCACCATCTATTCCGGCATACATTTTATTCAGGGGATGCTACCAGCCGCAACCCAGAATTGGGAAACACCCATACACACTATGGACACACTATAGACAATTTAGTTTATTCAACTAATTCGATCGGAGCACCCGGAGGAAACCCACGCAAAGACAAGGAGAACATGCAAACTCAGCCGGGAGGCGGGAGTGCTAACCACCCTGCAAAACCAAATGTATAATAAGTATTGAATCTAATGTTTCCATGATCTGTATTGACTATCTGGGGGCTGAATTTACAGCAAAAATGTCTGAGGAACTATTTATACTGTTGTAACCATGATACAATTACATATATTTTGAGATTTTGGCCATACTGCTCTCCCGTAAGTTCACTATTCTTAGACCCTTCGCGACTCTTATTTAGAAGAGAAAGCACATGTGGGATATTTCTGTTTCAGGGAGTCACAAGGTGACTTTTTGGTCTTTTTTTTTTTTTTTCAGACTGTGGCTTAATGTCCTGGGACATCAAGTAACCGCAGGCTAATGAGATGGCCAAACCCCAGACGCTTGACACGGAATTCAATTAGACTGCACCCTCCCTGTCTTTCACACTGAGGTAAGAACTGGCGTGAGAAAAATCCATTGGGAAAAAAGTGCTTGTCTGAGTGTGAAAAAAGAACAAGAGCAATGGAGAAATAACATCACATTACACATACAGCAGACATTTTAACCTGATCAGTCACTGAGTGGGAAATATTCTGTGCAACAAACCAAAGTCTGATATATTTCACTGTGTTGTAAACTAATTTGGTCAAAAGTAACGATATTATGATATTTGGTTTTGGTGTTATGGCACACAACAGTCTATTCTCTCCCACCAGTTTCATTTTATGAGTTTATCCAGAGTTTTCAGTGGCTCCATGTGCATTTTAGGTTTCAGTTAAATCACGCAAAAAAAAAAAAAAAAAAAAAAAGTTTGGAGAACTCAATACACAAGGGTTTGTTTGTGCATCTCTTTCTCAATACGCAAATGCTGATCTCTCTTTTATATAATTGTGCACTTCAACAGATAAGCTAAATATTCGGTATGTCAGAATAGCAGTGTTAAATCAAGTTAAACTACAAAACAAAGTGAAGTTTCTTAAAGGGCACCAATTTTACCCTTTTTACAAGATGTAAGATAAGCATTTGGTGTCTCCAGAATGAGTCTGTAAAGTTTCAGCTAAAAATACCCATTAGATAATGTATTGTAGCCTCCAGAATATGTCCATTTTGGTATATGAGTTCATTGTAGCTGTTTTTTGTAGCCTGTGGCTTTAAATGCAAATATGCTGCTTCACCCCACCCATCATCCTCGTGTGCCAGTATGCTAGTCAAAATTAGTCAAAAGGAAATTTAAAATAAAAGATTTATTGGGTTTCTATCACTCCAATATGACTGTGGACAGAGTATACCTACACACAGGTCCGTCCAAACGAAACACTGCTCGCTGCAGAGCCATTTGAGCAGAGCTGAGCTCCAGCGAGGGGGAGCATGAGCTCTCGCTCCTCCTCCTATAAGCTGTTTTAATGCGTACACCAACCCCACCCCTAACCCTACCCCCAGTGACATCACTCGTAGAAGAAGTGCAAGAAAGGAGGAGCTCAAGCTCAAGCTCCCCCTCGCTGGAGCTTAGCTCTGCCCAAATGGCTCTGCAGTGAGCGCCACTTGGTCCAAACAGCTTACAAAAGCTGATTTTCATCATAGGTGATATTTAAAGTCATAGCTAGGGCTGGGTGATATGAAAAAAGTCTGATATCCTGATGGCGATATATATTACAACATAGTACCTTTTCTGTAAATGTATTTTCTTTATTTTTATCATGAATGTAGAAATATAAAATAATGAAATGTAAAACACTAATTATTACAGGCCAAAACAACAACATTAACAACAACAAAAAAAAAAATGTTGCCAAATACATCCAAATTGAAAACACTGTACTTTCAAGCTTGCAAAATTCTCTCCATACTGTATCAAGATTGTGGTCATCCAAATTATATATATATATATATATATATATATGTAAGAATGTAAGAATTTTTATTTTACCCTTACAATATACACTCACTTTATTAGGTACACCTGTTCAACTGCTCGTTAACGCAAATTTCTAATCAGCCAAATACATGGCAGCAACTCAATGCATTTAAGCATGTAAACATAGTTAAGGCAATCTGCTGCAGATTAAACCAAGCATCAGAATGGGGAAGAAAGGTGATTTAAGTGACTATGAACGTGACATGGTTGTTGCTGACCATGTTCATCCCTTAACACATCTTCTAATGGTTACTTCTTGCAGGATAACGCCCCATGTCAAACTGTAAATCATGTCAGACTGGTTTTCTAAACATGACAATGAGTTCACTGTATTTAAAAGGCCACAACAGTCATCAGATCCCAATAGAGCATCTTTGGAATGTGGTGGACCAGGAGATTCCCATCATAGATGTGCATCTGACAAATCTGCAGCAATTGTGTGATGCTATCATGTCAATAAGGACCAAAACCTCTAAAGGAATATTTCCAGTACCTTGTTCAATCTATGCCACAAAGGCTTAAGGCAGTTCTGAGAGCAAAAAAGGGGGAACAAACCAGTACTAAGGTATACCTAATAAAGTGGCCGGTGAGTGTTTATCATAATGCACAGCCCTAGTGATAGCAGTCAGTACAATTGTTCAATAACTAATGAGAAAATCACTGTCGGACTACCTGAAGGATGTTGAGAACTGCTTTATATTTTATTCATTGACCTACTGTCTTCACGAAAGTTTTAGCTCAATATAAGTTAGTCTATTGGTTTCTTCTTTTGTTAAATGTTTTAGGATTTACTGTTACATGGTTCAAAACAATGTCAACAGATTTTTCTCTTTTAATTTATTATTTTGTGAAAATATTGGCAGAGTAATCCAAATAACTGGCAGGAACAGTAGTAAAAATCTATAACATCAAGTCATTCTTGAAATTTTAACTGCTGTGGCAATGTTTCCCGATGGCATTGAGTTTCAATACTTTTAAGATAAGTTAGTATTTCCAGTATAGTAACCTGTATAAATTTCCGCCTGTGATAGATAGTACCTTGCAGTCATTTTATGCACAAATGTTCTACCTGGCAAAACACATTCACTGCGATGTTGTCCCATGTTTGCTGTAGTTCGCAGTAATGGCAGTGACATAACCTTTTCTGCTGTCTACAGGCCTCTCTGTCAGTATGTCACTCATGACAAAGCACTGGACTTCTGGGTAAAGTGGGTTTGTGTAGCATCAGCAGTCTCAGAAATATGGCTGGCATTTGGTACAGTTTGCATCAGCGTCTCTACCGCAACATGGGGAAACACAATGAAAATGGAGACAGATGAATACAGATGGGTGCAGCTCAGAGGCTCTCGTAAAGTGAGTCTGTGGTGAAGGAGCCGCAGCAAACAGCTCAACCTTAGCTTTTCTTCAGCGTCAGCAGGGCCGGGCTGGAGGAGAGATGGCTCGTGTGGTTGTTGATGATTTATCTTGTCAAGAATCTCCGGTTCGTTCTCTCTCTCTCTCCCTGGCTCGCTCGCCTTTACAAAAGCACGTGTACACTGTGTGCTGTTGTCTGTTCAGTGTCATTCACGCATACTGGGCTTAAAATAGGTAATAAATTAGTCAGATATTTTTGATTGTGCTGTAAAAACACAAGATAATGGCCTTTTAATGTCAGCAATAATGGCAGAATTATTTACCATTGTTAGATACAGTACTTTTTATATGTTTTAAAAATTGTACATGCATATTTTTATATTAACCCTTGTATACTTTTTTCAGTTTACAACCCTTTTGTTATGTTGGTGGCTGTTTTTGCCCCATTGACTTCCATTATAATCACACTTTTTGATTGCAAAGTCATGACAGCAAACAGTCTTGCATTTCTGATCGTTGGTGGTTTTTCCTGTTAGGAAGAGGTAAAATGTATACATTTTACAGTTGATCATCAGTTGGTAACAATAATCCTTTAAATAAATCTGTGCTTAAAAATGTTTTTTTTATATTGCGTACAACTAAACTTGTTTTAGCACTGCAACAGTAAAAAAAATTATTAAATAAAAATTACATCTTTCCAACAGGGAAAACCTGCAACAATCAATAATGCCTGTGTATATGGTGTCATGGCTTTACAATCAAAAAATGTCATTATAATTGAAAGTGAATGGGGCAAAAACAGACACAAACATGACAAAAGGGTACATTTGCCCAGACTGTTGAATTTTTGAAAGAATTCAAAACATTTTCCCAAAATATGTATCAAAATACAAAAATTTTTCACCAAAAAAAAAAAAAATTAATAAATAAAATCATTCCATTTGCTGAAACACAGAGAAAGTTGTGGCCAAATTAAGTCATGCCAGAGTGGATGAAAACATCCCAATAGCACAAAAGGCTTAAAGGTAACACCACAAAGCTATGCTTTGTTTATTGTGTCTACAGTATTACTTTGATAGCCCCACTTAAGAGAGAGCGCTGTTCATATTTTTTGTTATAGCCCCCATGTGACAGTTTTTTAGCAAATTGTAATTGACTTTATTGCTGTCAATATTGATGAAAATATTAGTTTACACTGAAAGATTTTAATTTTATTCCATTTTAATAATATAGTTAAGCATTATATTAAGCAATGTCAATTGTACAAGCTTGTATAAAATTTTGTTTGTATAGCATTTGTTGTATTTAACTTGTATTTCTTAACGATACTCAATAAAAAAAAACAAAAAAAAAACAGTAATTTTAATAAACAATAATAAAGGCCACACAGAACCTTTCCCTACCATACAAGTACACAGTAACCTTCATTGTATACCATGTAACTAATATACACAAGATCGGAGATTGGCAGGACTAAGAGCCATAGGAATAGAGCGAATTCGGTGATAGGAACTTGTTTTGAGTCTTATGAATGGATAATTTTATATTGTGTTTATTTTATGATTGATGTTTTTGAACATGTACCAGTTCTGGCCTCTTTCTTCTTTAAATGAATGTGACAATTAAACAGACAATGAAACTTGGGGAACATAGAAACCCCCTCAGCCAACTAGTGTTTTAGAAGTGCAATAAGAAATATCACAGAAGAATAAATGCTCACAATGGTATTGCTGGGTGGCGCAGTGGGTAGCGCTGTCACCTCACAGCAAGAAGGTTGCTAAATCAAGCCTTGAATGAATCAGTTGGCTCTCGTCTTCTCTCTGGAAGTCTTTAAACTTTCCCTCACAAGTTCAAAGACATGCGCTATAGGTGAATTGGGCAAGCTAAATTGTCCATCTGCTTGTTAAGTGATAACATGTTGGTGACGTATGTAATACTGTTTCCAGGTCCAAGCCGCCACTCATTTGACTTGAGAAATTATTAGTTTATGATCACTTTTAATTCATATCACACATAAAAGTTATTTTATATAAAGTCATAGTGTACACAACGATCACTAGGCTTGGTGCATCACAAATACCAAAATTTTAACAATTTATAAAAAAATGAATGCCTTTCTGGCCATCGAATATTAGGCATGGACATATATATTGCGATCTGGATTTTTAAAAGTATTAAATTGCTTTGTAAACGTTTATAATTACCACTTCATGAGTCTCCCTATACATTTGAATAGAGCGATTGGACCCGGAAGCCGCTTCGTGTGACGTCACACTTAACAAGCGGATTGTGTAAATGGGTATGGGTGTTTCCGAGTGATGGGTTGCAGCTGGAAGGGCATCCATTGCTTAAAACATGTGCTGGATAAGTTGGCGGTTCATTCCGATGTGGCAACCCCTTAGTAATAAAGAGACTAAGCTTAAAAGGAAATGAATGAATGATATCGCTATGTGCAAACTATGTAACATGAGGTACAACTATAACTGAATAAATA